TCAGCATGAACTCTCAGTCTGCATTTTGCTTTCTTGATTTAAGATAATTTTCTTAACATTCAACCACACTGTGGGTCAGGAAACACACTCTACCAGAGAGAAACAGCTCCTTAACAAATCAATTTCTAATCCCCACGGGTGCAAGCTGTAAGATGTTCCACTGAGGGGAAAATCAGACACCACTGAGGTGGCAATGCAGGTGTTTAACCCAAGTAAACAACCTGCCCGAAAGGGTCCATGCTGAGTTTAGAGCTGAAGATGTGGAAGCCACTTTGGATCCACCTGAATTGAAGTGAAAGAGTTGCTTACTTAAAACCCTAAGAAACCTGAATGGAACAGCCATTGGAATGGTTGGAGAAGGTGGAAATTACTGAGGTACGTCTGTATCCCACTGGTTCAAAGTCATACCCTGAGGGTAACATTTTCCCAAACAATCCAGGATGCTCTGGAATAGCTGTTCTGAATTCCACGTATGAAACATCTTTAATTACAAATTGCTGAGGTTCCAGGTGTCCACTCTGTGGGAAAAGCTATACAGTCATTGACAGTGCTTAGGACGACTGTCAAAAATTTATTTAACGGGTTAATAACATCAATGAAGACTAAGTGATTTATCTTTTGTTCAATAGCTTGTACTCTCTGAAGATATCTGAGAGTTTTTTTTTTCTTCTTAAGAGAAAATAGAACATCATCTCTAATAATTCTATTCATCATTCCTTATGAATCTTGTACAAAACAGGCAACAAACACAGCACTTTCTTAAGCTTCCAGCAAGTGAATCAACAGGATACGTAGTTAAAACAAAGAAAAGGAATTAATATACTATGATTCCAACTACTTGATCAGTTTCATTTCTAATTAATAATGAGATGTCTGGAGTGCAAGTCCCACAATCACTGACTCTTAGAGCTTTTACTTTACTTACTTGTATTTTAAGAGCAGCCACTGAATTAACCAGAGTCCTACAAGGATCATGCCATTAATTTCACAAATAGAAAAGGCCCACTGCACCCGGTTAAAATGGTCAAAAAACGTGTCCGGTAGTGGAGGCTGCACCTCCTTAGGAGGTACTCGTTCATGGACGACCGAGATCATCACTGTGGTGAGAACAAAACAGGAAAGTGCATAAAGAAAGGCCAGAAGAGTCTTGCCCCACTCCATGGGGTACTGGGAGCGCTCTGGCTCTGGCATGGGGATCTTTATCATCTCCTTCCGATACCCATTTGGCATCCCGTTGGGTTTAATCTTGATGCTGAAGCTGCCATCGGGGGTGGGGATGTCGACGCCGATGTTGAGGTGCCCGTTGGCATGGCCGTTCTTGTGTGCTTCCAGGTGGTGCTCCATTTTCAGGGTTTCTATCATGTCCAGGAGCCGCTGCCCGTTGTCAGAGGAGACTCGGCACAAGGGGGGTTTTTGGAAATCCTCTTGGGTCAGGTTGATCAGGTCCTGGCCTGTGAAATGCTCCAGAGGTTCACAGTACTCTGGCATGGCATTCTCCAGCAGCCAGTCTGCCACCTTCTTGGGTGACCAATAGACCACTTCCTTCATTGTATTGGCAGGCAGCAGGCAGTCCCCGGCTCACTCGTGGCAGGTCAGCAGTCACTGTTCCTACAGGGCAGGACACTGTCCCGCCTCAGCTTGTTCATTCTGTAGGGCCTCATGAGCAGAGACTTGTTTGGCAAGATACTCAGGGCAGTTTTTAAACACCTCATGTAGCTGTCCAGGGTTCCTGAGTACCCGAGCATTAATTCACCTCATTTTTGGACAGGACTCTTCCTTCTGTGGAGACAAGAGAAAAGATCAGGATACTGGGACTTCCAAGTCAACCCCCCCTCAATATGCAAAGCCTTCACATGCACAGGGAAAATAGAAAAACAGTTATTGGCAAAACCATAGTTTTCAAACGTGTATTAGTTTCAGGGGCCACCGATTCCCTGGCTATCAGCCTTCTGTGACAGAGCATTAAACTGAATCTGAAAATGGAGAAATGTTTTACAGGATTTCCAACAGTGTTTCCGAGAAACAATTCACCAGTGCTCTAGATACTACTCAACACAGACCAGGAGTACTCTTTATCCTTACATGCTTCCTGTGATAATTTAAAGGCAAATTCTATCTGGTGAAGAATGTTTAAAAATGTACATACTACACAGCTACTGAATAGACAGGCCAGAAGAAAATCACAGAAATGCTGAACCTCAAGATCACCTGGTCCAATAATTTTATATTCTCTTACCAAAAACAAAAAATCAGTGAATCACCTTTTCCAAATGTGCTTAGGCCCCAAATACTAAGAGAGTTATAAATGCAGCTGCTGGGTTTGCAGCACAGGTGACGATCCAAGCTCCTGCCTGCTCTGTTGATCTGTCTTCTCCCAGCCCCTAGCGGGTTCTGTGAGACCCCACAGTTTGAAAATTAAGGGTTGATCCACTTCCTTCAATTATAGATGAAGACTCTTAGTTCTAGAAAGGTCAAGAAACTTGCCCCTGGTCAAGGAGCAGCCTGCATCTTTGAGCTCAGTGGACTTTTTAATTAAAATACTTGACCAACTATGTGATGAATAATCAAAGGGCATATCTGTAGGAAAGAATGTAAAGCAGGGTTCAAAAGTTTATAAATTTATGTATAACACACGAATGATGTCTGTCTGTGTGCGCGCGTGTGTGTGTGTATGTGTGTCTAGCAGCCACAACTATGGCTAATGTATACAAAGTTAGCAGCCCTAATCTGAAAATCAAAAATCCAAAACATTCCGAAATTCTAAACTTTTTTCAGCTTTGGCATGACACCCACCAAAAAAAAAAAGGGCTCAATGCAGCATTTAAAACTTCAGATTTTTAGATTAGGAATGCTC